AGGAGTGCTGGAGAAAGGCGAGTGCAGCTAGCATTCCTCTTCGTTATATTCATAGCATCTGGCCTTGGCACATCATCTGGTGTCGTGGTGTAGTTGGTTATCACGTCAGTCTAACACACTGAAGGTCTCCGGTTCGAGTCCGGGCGACGCCATGAATTTTTCTCCTTTTTTATCTGCTCCCTGGCACAGAGAAGCCATGACGCACGAACACAGGTGTTCTAGTTTTTTGCATCAGGAGTCAGGACCCGGAAGCATCCAAAATAGGTAGTTACTAGGAGAATCAACAGGATTTGGAAGAGAGAGAAAATGAGAGAAAGGAACAGAATCAGTTCATAGTATATCACTCAAAAGAACAATTTACAGAGTACCCATTCCATGCTATGGTTGTGTACAACACTACTAATCCTAAAGTACAGGACTAATATACATTAACTCCACCTCAACTCCTACAGTAAACAAAATTCCACATCTGTACAAATTACACGCAAATCAACAATGAACAGAAGATCTCTTTTTTATGTTGCTCCTGCAATCCAAAAGAAAAGGAATTGATTTACAATTTAACAATAAAACAACAAAACTCTTCATGTGTAGTGTATAGGCTATAGCATTAAGTACCCTTCTCCAGTCTTATCATTCAGCAATAAGATCGAATCACTTTATGGGACTGATGTAAACTTCGTTCGCCTTTTCTGAGGCTCAGATCTACTTCCTAATTAGAAAACAGATTCAATAAAAAAACATCAATAACCAATTCAAATAATCCAGTGCAACTAACTGAATGTACAAATAAGAAATGCAAGTGAAATACCCAAAAACATATTCCTAATGCCTATTAACTAGTAAGGACATACATGTTTCAATGAACAAAGTTTTAAAGCTAAATTTTGGGGCCAGACTCAAATTGCTGGCCTCAGGGGAGAAGAATAGGATATATGGACAGCATCCAATCCAGATTGCTTTGACCAATACTGCCATCCGCCAAATGTCAATGATTGAAAATAACACACCAGGTAACTAAGTACGATGGAACTACCATGAACTCCAAAAGTAATTTGCTTTGACCAATGCTGCTAACCCCCAGCTCCAAATGTCAATGATTAAAAATAACACACAAGCCACAAGGTAATTAAATACGATGGAACTAGGATAAACTCCAAAAGTAATTAACAGAAAACAGTCGAAGATATCCTTTTTACAGCTAAATAAAGGAAGTAATTGTTTAAAAGAAGATAAACCTGACAGTTTTACATTATTCCCATTCTCCTGAATGCCAGTGATTCTACGATCCTGAAAATGGAAAACCAGGTATGCATCTAATCAACAATTAGGCAAAAAATTATATGCATGTTATAAAACTGTTTGACAACAATGTAGGTGCCAGTCCTAAGTAGGTTTAAGGATATACTATAGTCAGCATAATCTTTCAACTAGAAATAGTAGAAAACTCAGTGTGACTTTAATATTACTATATAAGTAGCACCAGAGAATATAAGAGTGTGTGAATTTCCACTAAATGGATGCTTAAGCATCTGCGCATGCAATACATATTTGCATCCATCCTTCCTGCAAAGATAATGTACCTTAACATATCAATAATGTTTCTGTTATGCACAATAATCTAAAATGCATGGTTGAAGGATACCAAAATGTAAGTAGAGGTTACCATTTGTAACAGTCTTCCTTAAACTATTGAATTTGTGAAGAGAAAAAACATTGGGGGAAAGATGGGTTTTTTGTATAATTTTGATTAAAGTTCAAGACAAGGAATATATCTGTGAGAAAGGGATTACAAACCACATCATAAACTGCAACTTGGTTGCGCCAGAAATCCAGTGGAGGCAAAATTAGTCTTCCTGCAAGAGATGGAAACCAGTTGGTCAGTCGAGCAAGCACAAACTAGATGAGAATGACATTTAATTTGCATTGATTAGGGTAAAAACATTTATTAGAGAGTCTTTTAGAATAAAATATGAAATAGAAAATGGGACAACTAAAAAAGAACCGAGGTAGTAATATAATACAGGTAAATTGTAAAACGAAAGCTGGAAAAGCAAAAGGGACCATCAGTTATCTGTGGAATTGATAGTTTATAAAATGAATCAAAGATGAGAGAATAAAAGGCATTGCAAACCAATAATGATAAGATAGTTTTGTAGAACACAGATGGTGAAAAATAAAAATAAAAATAAAAAATAAAAAACAAAAAATAGAAAAACCTGATCGGGAGCGTTTGTGGCTCAGAGACTCTAGAGAGATAATGGATTGGTTTCCTTTTCCTTCTTGGGTTTCTTGGGTTGAAGGACTTGCCTGAGTAGATGAAGATAGAATAAATAATTTTTAGGGGGAAAAGGGAAAGAAGCAATACATATATATAATTTGCAAGTAAAAATGCAACTAATACAGCTAACAAAGGAATCAACCATGAGAAGATTCCATCAACTTATGGCTAATGATGATGTAATCTTATATCATGACAGCATGCATGTTTCATAACGGCCAATGAGGTGCAATAAGATTTTAATCAGACAGAAAAGATCTGTTAGAGGGAAGATAAATAAAGCCGTTCTCATAGGGTTGATTGCTAAATGGATTTTAAAAATTCTAAAGTTAGTTCAGCAAGTTGCATTTCAAGAATTTTTATTTTCACTGAACAATAAGAATGCCATCTAGCATGCTGAACTTGAGCTCAAAGCAGTTACATTATGCACAAAGGCTACATCATTATCGACATGTACTAATTCAAACAGATCTTTTCATCTTGACAAACAAGAAGATAGTATTAAGTAAAACTTCAGATGTAGAGAAGAGTCTGCTATCATAATGCAGTTAAAATGTAACTGCCTTGAAAGAAAGATGTTTCAGTCTACAAGTTACTGGTTACAACTTAAGCACAACCAGGCATGCATGAATGTGAAATATACTGCCCATGACTTAAATCTGCTAAGCTATACAGAGAGACCAGAGCATGACAACAGCTTACATGTATATCAAAATTAATTTTTCTTCTAGTCTTCCCCCAGGATAAGCACTTTTCCACATCATGAATTTCCTTACATGGTGAACTCCTCTTCAATCTTGTTTGATCCATAGGCTTAGGGACTTTCACTGTTGATCTTTGGTCTTTTGCCTTTACAGAACATTTAACCATATGGTTGCTTTTCTGACTGCTTCTCCTATATCTCAAACGACCTCTACTTTTTCTATTTCCAGAATGACTAATACTTACTTCATTTTCATTTATGTCTCGCTCTGAACTCGACAAGTTAGCCACAGGGCAATGCCTGTCTGAACCTATTTTAGCATCAACAGTTATCTGCTCAGACACATTTTCTTCAAATGAACCTGACATGTTAATTGCACAGTTGTTCACAATGGAACCTTCCGAGGCAGCAACATTAATCTTCTCAGCCATATTCTGAGAACAACCAACCTCAACATCACTGTTTTGCTTACCCTCACTAAGGACCTCCTCATGTTTACTTGGAGTTGAACTTAGGCTAGAAGCTGTCCTGCCTGAAATATAACATCTCCCACCAAACATAAAGGAAGAACATAAATTCAGCAATTATTAGGCATAAACAAGGAAAATTACATTCTAGCATCTCATTCTTAAATGACTAATCTGACACAGACGGCATGCTCAACCTGTGGCTGGCACGGTAAAATCAGAGATCCCTCTTGATTCAGTGCCAGTTCTAAACTCTTTCACCAAGCACTTTTGAGCACATTCTTCCCAGTGGTAAGGAAAGCCAAATGTGAAATGATTGAAGACCTGTTTAGGGTAAAACGTAATATATGCTTAATTCAGCTTATGTTTTCCTAATAGCAGTGCAAGAAATATGAGTGGGCATGCACATTTACATGTTCTAACCACATTTAATTGACAACGGAAAATCACAAACTAAGGCACAAGAAAATGCACATTTTAACTGTTCTTATTTCCTCAATTTCATGTTGTTTCAACTTGTATACAGGTCAGAACTCTATTTTAATTCCTTCTCCATTAACATAGTAATTACAAAAAAACAAAAAACTCATCTATACCTCGGAAGAAAACCCATTTTCCTCTGTGCGTGACTTATTTATGACTCCTCGGAAAACAACACAAACCCCATCAGCCGTTTCCAGCGTGAAAGCATCATATCTTTTGACGATGGGTGCAGACGTAAACACACGAACTGGTTCGCGCCTATCGTGCAGAATCAGTGTAATTTTCAAAACATAATTAGAAGAGCTAAAAAGGTTAACAACTTTCACATTCTGTACTCCCAAAGTGAGAATCGACTCAAAACCCTAACACGGAGACGGAACTCACCCTCCAGATACTGATCCTGCAACAGCTAATCTCTTCCCGTCAAATTCGCTCTCCGCTTCAGTAAGCCACCACTCGTGCAAACAAACCTTTTTTCCAAAATCAAAGTGAGAAAGAATTAGGATACAAGAAAAAGACGAATTCGGGGAGGTTTGGCTTCAAAAGATAACTCAACTGTTTTCTGAATGTAAGAGGAACTGCCCTCATAGTTCCGATGGCCGTCGCCGCTGCCACGATTGACCTTGGAGGTCCGATTAGGGCTGGAAGCTAAATCCATGGAGGTAAGGATTAGACGAAGAAAGAATGGAATGAGATTTCTGTGCAGATTTTTAGTAGCGCTGGGGATCGACTCGGTTTCCCGCTCACTGGCATCGGACATCAATACGACGCCATTCCACCCGCATGTCATGTAAGTAGAAATCGAGATCTTGTATTTTTAAGAAGAAGATAATTACTTAGTTAATTAAGTTATTAACAATATGTCACAATATTATATACTTATAATATGATATATTGTTATAAAATTAAATTCTTTTTATTCATGAGTTCGTTTATAATATCATATGTAATATTTATTTAATGAAACATGTCATAATTATAAGTATATAATATTTAGGTGACATTATATCTTCGTAAATATATGATCAAATATTAAGCATATTTCTTGCTGCAAAAAGGGGGAAGTGGTCTTTGATATAAACATGGATGTTCCATATTTCATTGACCTGCTACCAATGTCTCTATTCTGAAGGGCTGCTTCCATCTTTCGATCCATGTGTAGTTTTGCATCGTGCCCAATTCATGTGCTACTGACATCCTCAAGTTTGTTCATAAATCTCCTGTTAGATTCTGAATAAAAATGCCATCCTTGTCATGAGTTAGTAGGCAACCTAATTTTCCGGATACTCATTTTGCATGTAATCGACTACATTTTGTTGGACAATGGAGCGTGTTGCATTTCTGATTCCCCCAGTGCAACAGCTTAAGGCCAAGTTCTTAGAGAACGGGTCTTCGCAACACCATTTTCAGACGTTAGATCTTTTTTTTTTTTTTTTGCCCGAGAAGAGCAGGAGCTAGTTGAGAATGGATTCAATGGAAGAAGTATAAGAGAGCACAAACTGATCATGTTATTCTACAAAAACTGCTCATATTGGTACAAACCGTGTAGAGATCTAATTTTGCTTGGTAATGCAACTTAATACTTTCAGAACTTAAAACTGAAAAAAGGAAACTAGCTATTTCATGAACACCAACTCAAGGGATCACACAGAACATTAATATATGTCCGGGTGAAATTGCCCATGTAGGGAACTACTTTCTTGTGCCCTCTGGAGATGAAGCTTCAATGCATAGTTGCTCAGCTGCACCAAAACAAAAGAAACTACAATGTCATTTCTCTTCCCTATGTTAGGCAAAGAAGCCAATGTTTGTGTCGTGTACAAATATGATGAAAGCTTCAATGTATGGTTAACCTAACAAGAATACCTCTAAATTTCTAACTTGTTCTTGGTATTGACTGAGCATGAGCTTCAACTGGCATACTTCTCTTTCATTTACCTCCTGTTCCAAATTGCGTTGATGCTGTATGGCAACAGCTTTCTTTAAAATTTGATTATTGTTTAACAATCCCTGCAGATTCTCCTTCAAAGAAGCAAGCTCGAGCTATTCCACGGATCAATGAAAAAGATTCAATTAGTGGCAGAAGAATCCCCAATTGATACCTTATTGGCACAAAATATTGATCATACAAGCAATGTTAAATTACCTCCTTCGCGGCCCTTGTGTTGGCCGTTATATTTCTCTCAAAAGCCTCTAAAATCTTGGCAGCACGGCCCCTAGCGTCATCAAGATTGGTTACGCTCATCATCTCACGCACAAACAAATCCACCCATTGAGGCCCATCAATCACACTCCTGTTGTCAAACTTTTGATTGATATTATTTACACCTCGAACGTCATGCTTTGATATTTGACTACCTGGTTGACATATATTTAGAATGAGTGCAGAAATGGGCAATCCTAGGCTCAAAGAAATCACAGGATACAAAAGATATTTCAAGGAAAAGTTACTAAGGGAAAAAGAGCCTTCACAAGCAACTTACAATTACTCATGCCCCCAGTAGGAACATCAACGCAATTTCCAATTATCGCAGAATCAGAGCTTGCTGATTTATTTCTTTCCATGAAATCAGAAGGAAGCACAGAAAGACTCTCCCTTGCTTCTTCTATCTTATTGTTGTGATCTCTAAGAACCGTTGAAATAAACTAGAAAAACAAAGGAGGATTATTAGACCATTGAATTTTAAACAGACAAGATAAAAGAAGTCAATCACGCATCCTTCTTCTGAGCAACAGAATTCAAGCAGAGTATGACCAACAATCATAAAGTCATTAACACGGACCCGAATTAACAACTTCATGAAATTAGTATAAACATTCACTGAATCAAACACAAACTCAAACTATAAACATAAAGACTGAGCAAACAAATGAAAAATGGAAACTGGGATTTGAAAAGGAACTAAATTTCATCATTTGGACCAATTCAGCAGATGACATACTCAAAAGAATCAGGAAAATGGAAATTAATTAATCGATAAAAACGCACCTCAGGATCCAGGGCAGGGAACGTTTGCAACAAGGAGGAAACAGGATCCTCAGATCCGGACCCGAATTCCCGCGGCCGGTCTGGAGAAGCACCAAAACTTGAACATCTGGATCTCTTAGGAGAAGATCCGAATAATTCTTCACACCCAACTCTCTTCCCACAAACCCTCGCAGACATGGCTACTTAAAACCCTACAGGTTTAATTATTACAAAAAAAAATCCAAAATTTCACTTCAAGATTTCAACTTCGATCTGAAAGAGGAACATCAAAATATTGGGTTTTCAATAAATTTTGCTTTCCATCAAATTTATAACCTGTTTGGTGTGAATTAATAATATGAATTGATTTGTTTGGATTGTAGTGAAGCTTAGGGTTTGATGGGGGTGAAGAAAGGAGGAGGGTGGGGTCTGTTTGGTTTGATAAGTTATGGGAATCTGAGGATTTTCAACCATCAAAGTTTACGGTGACGGTAGATGCAGGAAAAGAAAAGGCAAAAAGAGTAGGAGTAGAGTAGGCGGTAGCGCCTAAACTATTAAAGAAATTAAGAAATGACAAAGGCTGACAGTTGAGTTGAGTTGAGTTGAGTTGAGTTGAGTTTCTTCCAGATGATTCGGCGAATTTATGAACCATCATGTGCACTTTGGATGCGAGCGTAGAATTATCGAACGGTTTGAAATATTTGTACATGTCAGATTCCTATGTCCGTAATTTTAAGGGCTTGCTTGGAGTTTATGTTTGGTTAAAATATTATTTTGGTCATTCAATTTTTTATTTTAATATTAAAATTATCTTTAAAACTTAAAAAATATTAAAATTATTTTAAAATTTTCATTTTCAATATCAAAATGATTATTTCATTAACAAAAGTGTCAAGTGCATGTTAATCCAAAGTTTTTTTATTTTTTAAATAATGATGTGAAAAAAAATACACATATAGAATGATGATGTGGCATTTTAATCAAATTTTAATTCTAACCCTAATGCTCATCATTTCACTATCACTTATATACATCTTATGAACATAAGAAACTCTAAATCCAATCTTCAAACCATTAACTCCTTTTTCTCTCAATTATTTTGGAAATAGAGAAACCTTAAATCCAATCTTAAAGACATCAACCCCTTTTTCTCTCGATTTTCTTGATCTCTATTTTCAATGACCTCAACTTCTCCAATCATCTCAACCTCCACTAGATCACCTTCCACTCTTCTCCAGATTTCCAACTACCATCACCTCTTGAACACTCTATCATCTCAGAACCATCAATGCAACAACACCTTTTGATTCTTCACCGTTATTTTGTCCTTAATTTTCTTCGACATCTCTACTTCCTTGAGAATCTCTCCGTCATCATCATTCTATTCATATCTTGGTGAGTGTTGAAATGGAGATTCGATGACATTAAGTGTCTCTTAGCTACCATCCAACATCTCCAATAGCCCTAATTCTATGTGCACCAATGCAAGGCAATCTCTAACGTGTTCTTTAGTCTTTTCATTTGTCTCCAAATCCACTGCATTTTCAAGGCTTGTTTGCCTTCTTGAACATTTGACTTTTGGATTAGCTATTTTAAAAACCCAAATTTGGGGTTGAGAACCCAACAAATAGATAAGGAAGGAAGAGAGGAAGAAGAAGGGAGAGAGAAAGAGAGAGAAAGAATAAGAAGAAGAAAGAGGAAGGATGAGTAGAGAAAGAGAGGAAGGTTGATAGAGAAATGAGGAGGCAATCTGTTAAAGGATTGAGAGAGAAGAAAGGAAGATGATGATGAAGGTTTTCTATTTTTATTTATTTTTCTTTTTTCTTTTTTTAGGGTTTGGGTTGGTTGGGAAGTTCAGTAACAATTTTGATGCTAAAATAGAAAGTTGAGGGACCAAAATGATATTTTAACCTTTTTATTTTACATTAATGAATATTAATTTCACTAAAATTTTTTGTCAAAGTTTATTGTAAGTGAAAAGTAAAAATCAAGATATTTTAGGTTTAGTTTAATATCATTATAGTTTTAGGTTTTTTTTTTATATATATCTAATAATTAATACTCTATTTATATTAAATTAAATAAAGTGTAATTCCTATAAAAAAATTGATTTCTAAATATAGTAACATTTACTAAATATAAAAAAAAAAAAGTGAAAACCAAAACTCAAAATTGAAAACTACATTAAATGAAGCCTTAACATTTAAAATGTTAAAATTGTTAGTGAAATTGTTTAAATACCTTAATGAATCTTATTTACATATTAATAAATTAAGATATTTAAATCTTTTTATTATGATTTTTATCATTTAATTTTCAATATGTCCTAATTTTTCTAAATCTCTAAATATAATATGAGATAATTAACTTTGTTAGTTTACAAAATCTTATACGTTACGGTGTCTGGACATCCAGTGGCTGTAGTTTAGTGGTAAGAATTCCACGTTGTGGCCGTGGAGACCTGGGCTCGAATCCCAGCAGCCACATAATTAGTTGGCTTTTTCGTTCTAATCCAATCCTGCTATATAAATTGCGCGCTGTACTACGACGACGTTCTGAAGCCATCCTCACTCGTCTCCTTTTTGTCGCCCTCAGCTGACTGCCCTTTACAAGGGTTTCAGTCGTCTCCTCCGATACTCCACGCTTTGTTCTTCGCCTGTCCATCGTGCTTGCTTATTTTCCCAACCTGTCACCGTAAGTTTCTCAATTTTCTTTCTGTAATCAATTTTTTCGTTAGTCTTGCTTTCTTGTTCCAAACTCATGTATGTAGTTTTTAACCTAATTGAATCTGTATCTTTGGCTCCTGATCTACAACTCCCTGATTGTGATCTATTCCCGCTTGCTTTCTTTTTTCTTTTTTTAGGTTATCCACTTGATTTCGGTACTGTCATTTCATGTTTTACACGAAATTCAGATTGATAAAATCAGTTTTTTAGCAGTTCTAGTTGATGTAGTTGGGTAAAACATTTAGGGTTGCAGTAGTTCTTTTCTGTGAGACTGCACGACGCTGTCCCATGGTTTGATTTAGTGATGAACAAAGGGATCTCAATGTTGTCCTGTTTTGCTGGATGAATCTAAGAAAATGCTCTTGAATTAGTCTAGCATCTTAAATTGACAAGAACCATATAGTGATGCTAAGAACTGTGGTACTGATCTATTTTGTTGTTTTTGAATGACATGTAACAGATGATTGACGATCAAGACCTGGGATTTTTTGCAAATTTTCTTGGGATCTTCATCTTTGTGCTGGTTATAGCATATCATTATGTGATGGCTGACCCAAAGTATGAAGGCAATTGAGACTTTGGTGCCTTAATGTTACCTTTTGTTGTGGACATACGGATGCTATATATGTAGACTCTGTTATTTGCCAATGTAGACAACTTCTTGCTAAGAACCTTCAAAATTTTCTGCCATCGATGTCATCTTACAGCTACTATTTTAACAAATTAATAGTCATTTTTATTGTCTATCCATCTACTACTCTCTACTTTATTTCCAGGTAAAGCTTCTCAAATTCTCCATGCCTTCATGCTATGCTTAATGGAGGTTGGCTTCTGCTCTATGTTATTGCTTTGGGTCTCTAATTCACTTGAACAAGTCGTTAGTTTGGACTTTGGAGAAGCTGATTTTAACTCGTTTAACTTTGATCTGTACGGTTCTTTTGCGGAAGTAGTAATGGGAATCCCATAAAGAAACCTATTCCCATGTGCCGTTAAAGCCTAGAAGGTAATTGTACCGTAAATTTATTTTGCATGTATGGTGTTAAGGTTACCTATAACTTCGTGGAAATTTATGTTTCTTCCTGGATTATCCCATTTCACCAGTTCCCTTATTTCCTTCTCTATCTCAATTGTTTCTCTCATAAAACTTCTGATGCAGAACCCTAGGCCACATAAACATAGAACCATTTGGCTCTTAATCATCGCCTCACCTTCAGTACTGAGAATCATGTAGTGTACTTCCATCAAATGATGAAGAAACGAATATGCAATATCCTCAACATCGTCCTCTTCTAGCCCCGAGTTTGTACTGACATCTGCATTTGCTGGTTTTCCAGACTCGATGTCAGGGGAAACACTTCTCCTTTGTATCTCCTTTTCAAGTTTGGCCAGGGATCCGATCTGTAACACCCCATCAAAACATTTTAATGAAGATCCAGCTTTTTCTGCAAACAACTCTAGATTATCGTTGATCTGTTGTTCAAGCTCCTTCCAAGCAGCTCCAAGCCTTGGTGACACTCCAGCGAGGAATTCAATTTGGGAGGCCATAAACAGTAATATGTCTACCATCTTTGATAACGATTCAAGAAGCCTGCTGTAGCAGCCACTGTGAAAAGGCTTGAACCAGAAGTTAGGCTCTAACTCAGCTTCCCCAACAAAATTCTCCAATTCACCAACATGTAAGGCTAGCTTCTTCTGATTTTCTCTCAACCTGCTTGACTCTGAATCCGGCACGTCCTTTCGCCCCGTACAAACAACTATTCCTTCTATGCAATCCTGAAGCGCCCCAAGACACGCTGAAAGTTCTGTTTTTGCGAGTGTAGCTGCTCTGGCTGGCTGCAAGAGGATCTCTACCATGATGAGACAGAGTAATCCGATGGTAGTCTCTGTTATTCTAGCAATTGCAAATTCAGTTGGAGTGCCATAATCTTTCCTACCCAAGATCAGTAATGCCCCTAGAATTGCTGACTTCCCTCCAGCTTGGCCGTACATCCGGCTGTGCCTCAGAAAACTGGTGAAAATTATCCAAGGCAGTAGAAGTAAGCACCTCAAATGCTGAAGGTTGTGCAGAATAAAGCAGCAGATAACTCCATATATTGATCCCATTGCTGTCCCCTGTGCTCGGGCATTTGCACTTGTGAATGTTGCTTTTCTGCCTGTTACAAAACTGGTGGCAATTATTAGTCCTGCCAAGAATCCATTATTTTTGTTATAAATCAGACCCAATAGCACAGCAAGACCAAGAGAAATTGAGCATTTGAATGCAAAAACCATTCTTTCACTGCTCAGCCACATTGAGATTGCCATCACACTGCCCTGAATTGTTTTGAAGCAACTTTTTCCTTTATCTGTATCAATTGATTCTTTAGTTTTAGCTTTGTCTTCCTTCAATACAGGGAACTTGGGGCTCCGAGTAACGGCTGTGCCATCCTGGAGGAGATTCATGCAATTGAGGAAGAAGAAAGCACGAAAATCTTCTTCGGTTGTAGAGAAAGTTTTGTGGATAAAGGAAGATCTGTTGGTATGTTCTTTCCTACTCTCTGGGGCCATTGCTGCATTAAAAGAAGCAGAGAACTTGGCCTGTTTGAGCTTTAACCCTATCTGCACTTTTGAATTTTGCATTAAATCTCTGAGCTCTTCATCAATCATGCCTATTGGGAAGGAAGTGCAGGAAGTTAAGGAGAGTTCCATCCCTCTAATTAGTATTTCCATGTCTTGCAGTTTCTTTCCAAGGTCCAGTTGGTTAGGTTCCCTGAACCTGAGCTGAGGTCTCTCCCACATGATTCCTTCCTGTTAGAAAGAACTTGTCTTATGAATTTGCTAACAAAAACTCAATTCAAGGAAGGTGCACTGTCATTACTAAATATTCATTTAGGTTTTAATTATTTAGTTACCTGTTTGTCTCTGATGTTCTCGAGAAGCATGACCCCAGTTTTAGCTAAGTCTCTTGCTTCTGTGAGAAAATCCAATGCAACCCTGTTGTCCTGTGCAGAGAAGGCTTCCACTAAGAGATTCAGCCTCTGTGAAGCATTTTCTGCATAGATTCTGCATGCTCTCCTCACCTGTAGGCATATCAACAGTTGGCAGTAAGAATCCCATTACTCAAACATAAGCATGGAACAATATCATCTGTCCTTTTACTCTATCAGTCCTTCTACATCATGTTTTGGTAATTCCCAAAACATGTGTAGCCAACTGGGGTGGGTTGAAGAGGATTTCAATTTAAGCTAGGAACCTTTTTACATCATTGTTGTGGTCTAACAGTCAAACTCAAGGACTAAATCTAAATTACAAAGGCGCAGACCTCTCTAAAATTGATCTGAACAACAAAAACTTCGCCATCTTGGTATAGCCCAGGGGTTTTCCTACTGTTAAGAAAAAAAAGGCAGCAGCTAAGGCAGAGCTTTGTATTGTTTTAGATTTAGCAATTACCTCAGACAATGCTAGATGAGGGTATGGAAGCAGCATAGCCAAAACAGCAGCCAAGGCGCCAAGAGCAGTGCTTAAAGCCACATGAATTGGATGCATCACGACACTGGTTTCTGCGCCATTAATAACAACACCTGCATATACAATTACAGTCTGTCCAAAGGCAAGCTGTTTTGTCATCAGAGGCGTGAAAACAGGCAAAGCCACCAAGAATGCAGTAACTGCCGCTGCAACCGCAGCTAGTTCAGGGGTGAACTTGGCCGGTCCAATTACCTTGAGGATCAGCATAGAAGGGAGCAACACTTGAATGCTGGCGTAAAGGGCTTGCCAGCAGCCTCTTAGAGCATCACCAAGTGTGGCATCAGACACAATCAAGATAGTTGTCACATAGGAAAAGGTCGGAAATGCTAGTAAATGCCGGACGGAGCCTGGCCCGTAGAGCGTGGTGCAACCCACAATACCACATGCCACCACGGTCCGTAAGGCTGAGCCAAGAGGTCTCAGCCGAAGAGATTGGTTGGTATCCATTATTGTTGGTTTTGGGTAGTAGAAGGTGTTAGGAAAAAAGGCACAGCAAAATGAAATAATTCCTGTGAATAACACATGTAAACAATAACAAAAAATGGTAAAACAGATGGCTTTATCAATCAATATTAATAGTTAGTGATAAAGACAACTTAATCGATTAAGTAAAATAAAATAAGCAATTTAACCAATCACTTAAAAGAAAAAAATAAATAATAAAATAATATTAAATTTTATATGAAAAACTCTCAAAAAGTATTAAAGGAAAAAATTATAAGATGAATTTCAAAAGATATTTTATTATGTAATAGAATTATATAAAGTATAAATTCAAGTATTCTTCTCTCTTAATATTTTTCACTTTTCAAAATATAATTACAATCCTAACAAACCTATAATTTCATCAGTCAATATATGTCTCTTTAAAACACATTTACACCAAAGCTTAATTCTAGCTACCGCTTTTTTTCTCACCTGAGCTCTCTCCATGGAAGCTCACCCAGTCACTTTGGTATTGTTCTATTTGCTTACTTGTTCCCTTTGCATGCATGAATATTTATACCGAACCACCCGTATAGGGTTTTCTTTACCTCATTAAATGAGATATGTTTGCAATGGTTGAAATTAGTATGCAAACATTTAAAAGGGCTGCCATAGCTGCAGCCTTTTAGCTATAGGACGGCAAGAATTTCACGTGGGTTGGCAGGGGTTGAGCTAGAAATTTTGGTTGAGGATCGGTTTTCAAGTTTTAAAATAATATATTATAATTTAAAATTTTTATTTTTATATTATATATTAAAATAATACTTAATAAATTATCTTATCATAAAATTTATTTATAATATAATTTATACTAAATAATTAAAATATTTTTTTATTATAAATAATTAAAGAGTTTAAAAGAAATTCATCATCTATTTTATTGTGAAGTGTCATTTTCATAATTTTCATAGTAAAAAATACTCTTTTTATTATTGCTGTAAAAACTGGAAGAGTAAACACCAAAATAATTAACTTGTAAATGAGACTATAAACCTCTAATTTTTTTATCTTCACAAGCCATTAACATACTTAAAAAGTACGATAACATCCTATCTCTTTACCCTACCACTTTCTACAAGTAAACAAATTTTTTTTTCCTTTTACAAGCTAATTACACTTCATACAAGTCTATCTTCTTTTTATACTAATTTATGTTCCTATTACTTTTTCTCTATATGACTATATCAAAGGGTTTTTCCTTTTATTAGATTCATATATGTTCTCTTTATAGATTTGTACCTTTTTTTTTGTTAATTTTTTTACTTTGATCTAATTCTATTCCATATGACTTAAATATTATCATAATATTCAATTTTATTTATAATCTCAACAACTCTAAATCCTAAAAAGAAATTATACAATTTTTTCTAATAATAAAAAAATATTTAAGTTTCATTACTTAAATATTACTCCTTTCATACTAGAATAATAAATTTTTTTGTTTTATCCTCAAATGAATGAAAGATTTGAAAACAATTTTTATCTTTATCTATTTTATACTTAAAAAATAACTAAGAATAAATATCTACTTCCATCAGAAGATAAATAATTAAAATTAAGAGATAATTATAGGGTTAAAGTAAAAAAAACTATTTATCTTCCTTAAAATAAAAAAAAAATATTATTTTGGGATAAATTCCAAATAAAAAATTAATTATTTTGGGATAAAGAGAGTATACTAATTTTTTTTTAGAACATACCTACTAACAAGTATAAAACAAAATTTTAAAATAAAATAAAATAAACTTACAAAACTTGAAAGTTGAAACCCAATATAGTAATATATAATTTATACAAAAAGAGATAGTGTTGTTTTTAGTTTTTCTCAAAAAGTTAGTGGCTTCTTTGGTGGTCCCTTAATTTGTCTTTACGCTTTCAATAAGGAGAACAGTATTGTAGTGACTTGTATCAAGCTGTTAGTAGAGTCTCTTTTTTTCTCTTTTTTCTATTTTTGAAGTTGTTGGGTTGAAATTGATTGGTTCAAGAAGATTGGCACTGGGATAGTGGGGGTTGGATACTGGAAAAATGACATAAAAGACACAAGAATCGATTTTTTTTTTCTTTTTCTATAAAATTTAATTGTAGGCCTTGAAATGAGTAGATTTTAAATAATAATAAATAGTTAAATTGTTAAAATAAATAATTGGTTATATAAATTATAGTTGGACTTTTAAAACAATCATTATTATTGGATTTTTTTTATTTTATGTATTTTAACAATTAAAAATATAATATTTAAAATTTTAATAATAATAATAATAAATTAATTATATTTTTTTTTTCAAATCCCAGGGGGGCCACCGCCCCCCGGTGTCCATGTGGCTCCGCCACTGTGGGCTGGAATTTCTGCCAACAGAAGGGTTCAGGGAGAGCGGGAGATAGGCATGCAAAGCTTGCAATATTCTGTTTAAATGGTAATATGTGGCCCAAAAAGTTAAAATTTAATGACAAATTCTTATTGTCCCAAACATGGCCTCAAATGCTCTAATTTAACAAT